CTTAAATCTAAACTTTGATAAAAACAGATACGTCATCCTGTTTGATATGTATGTTCGTTTTCGTAAAACTTATTACGGATGCACAAACGATGAAACGCTGTTAACCGTAGATTCATTTTTGGAGAATGGACCTTTCGTAATCATTGATTGCACGCAACAAAACGAGTCCGTCAAGAGTGCTACTGTGGATGTGCGAATAGAATTTGACTGTAAAGAAAATGTGCCGGAGAGTACTACAGCCTATTGTCTCATCTTACACGGGCTGCGTTCCCATTACTTTTCAGTACAGTATTAGCCGCCATATTGTTTTACTGGACAAGCGTTCTGTTTTACCAGTAAATAGTTTCAGTAAAAACATAACCTCCAAATTATACTGTGGCCGTTTGCTCGCAAATGTTAATATAAGTAGTGCAATTTGCGAGTAAGAAGGTGTTGTATTTATTTTATTTATATTATTTTTGTCATATATTTTTATTAGTTATTGCTATTAATCGTTTTCATTGTTGGTAGCTGATTTCCTGTTAATTGATAATAAAAATTCCAAATGTTTATTGATCATTTTAATTTTTTATTAATCTCGATGGCTTTCTTTAAATAATTAATAACTTTTATACGAAAATTCGACATTTATTAATTGGTCAGAAAATTATAATTGGGAACCACACGTTTGGCTTTAATTTTACTTTTTATTTTCAGAAGTTATGAAACATTAAAAACATCTGTGAATTTGTGCCCAAGTGTTTTGTGCAGAAGAGAATAAAGTGAGATAATTGATACGGCAAACGGTGCAATCGCAGGCTAATTCGATTGGTAGGTAATATATGAACTGAATCTTATAATTCTTGCAAAAAATAACAGTATTTATGTTACACGATATATAAATCAAATTGGATATTAATTTAGATTCTCTGATTAGAAAAACTCGTATTTTAACGGAAACTTTGAATTTCGATCCAAATTAATATATTAAACATTACTATACCCTAGGATTACGAACAAGAAAAAAAAATAGCAGAAGAACGGCAATGAACAATGACGCATTAATTGCAATTATCAACGATTTTGTGGATTCGTCTGATGATCAGAGTGATTCTGAGAGCGATGATGAACTATTAATAGATCCAAATAAAGTAATTCGCGGCAAAAGGCCAAGATTACATTATTTAGATATCATTGCTTTGTATGACGATCAGGAATTCAAATCCAATTTTCGGTGAGTTATTATAAATTATGTTATGAAAATATATTTTCTTTTATTGCAATCAATTAATCATTATCACTGGCGATAATCCTTCATATACTATAAAATGCAACATTTTTAACTTATTTCAAATATGAATAAATTTAAGGTTATTTTACTGAAATTAAATATTCCATGAAAATTCCATTATACTCATAACATTTGTACAGTCTACGTAGAGATACCTTCGGCTACATTTTGGACCATATTCGTCCAGATCTGGAAAAGTGGCAAGACCATTTTGGCAGATACCCCATACCAGCTAGCAAACAGTTCTACATCGCACTATGGATGCTTGCAACTCCGGACTCGTACAGGTGAAAAAATTAAAATAAATAATATCTAACAAAAATCTGTCAAATCAATGAAACATTTCAAATGATGAATATTTTCAGTATGATTCTTTCATTTGTCTGAATTTTTTAATACATTTTTTGTTACCTATAATAAAAACATATTTTCAGAAAAATGAAGAAATTTTTATAAATATTTGTTCAATTTACTTTAAAACTCTGCAATGAATATTATCACAATTTAGATCGGAAGAGCACACGTC